CCAAGCTTGGAAACTTTAAAACCTGTGGACTTCAACTCCCAGAATTTTCCTTCCAACCATGCTGGCTGAGAAATTCTGGGAGTTGAAGTCCACAAGTCTTAAAGTTGCCAAGGTTGGATCCCCCTATCTATAAAGAAGGTTGTGGCACAAACATGATCTATGTTTACACCTCTTGCTAAAGTATAATGTGATTTGTTTGCCTTTTGCACATCCCCTGCCATTGCAGTTTGCAAAGCACACTTTATAGCTTAAGTGTGAACTCATCTGGCCTGCCTTCATAATAGTAACAATGATAATAATAATTACAAAGAAGCAAATTGGAAATTGGAAAAGTAAAGCTATGTATGGCCAATACCTGAAAAGTATTGAAGGCAAAGCTGACCAAAAGCTTACTTGGAATTGGCTAAAATCAGGAACACTGAAAAAAGAAACTGAAGGCTTTATTTTGGCTGTTCAAGAACAAGTCTTAGCCACTAAGTGCACGAAGGCAAAGATTCCAACAACAGCAAATGCCGCCTCTGTGATGAGAAAGACGAAACAGTTGACCATTTAATCAGTGGGTGCAGCAAAATTTCACAAACTGACTATCTAGAACATCATAACCGAGTTGCTAAAATTATTTGCTGGAAACTGTGCCAAAAGTTTGGATTTGAATATAGTAACAACTACTGGGAACATCAGGTTGAGAAGGTTCTGGAGAATGAAAAAGTGAAGATCTTATGGGGCTTCAGAATTCAGACTGATAGGCACTTGACCCATAACACACCTGACATAACAATAGTTGGAAAGAAAAGGTTTGGTTCATTGACATTGCAATACCTGATGATGCATGAATTGAAGACACACAGCAAGAAAAAAAAAATCACAAAGTATCGGGACTTACAAATTGAAGTTGAGCGACTTTGGAAAAAGAAATCGTGTGTTATCCCAATTGTAATTGGAGCCCTTGGAGCAATACCTAAAGGGCTACCTCGCTATCTGGAAATTCTGAATTTATCAGACTTGAATACCATGATTCTACAAAAACCTACCCTACTTGGAACAGCTTATATCCTCCAACGCTACCTGAACAGTCCCTAGATCCTTGGTTAGGACTTGAGCTGTTGAGCTATCAACCAGCCCCAAAGCCTGTGAATCTCACTAAAGATTTAATAATAATATAACAATAATAACAACAATAACAATAGCAATACTACTTTATTGTCATTGTACACATATATACAGTGCAGAGGTGGTATTCAACAGGTTCTGACCAGTTCTGAAGAACCAGTAGTGGAAATTTTGAGTAGTTGGGAAAACCAGTAATTGCCACCGCTGACTGGAGATTTTACAGTATCCTTCCCCTGCCAAGCCCGCCAAGCCATGCCCACAGAATGGTATTAAAAATTTTTGAATCCCACCACTGACACAGAATACACCTACAATGAAATTCACATAACACCCAGAGACCAGACTCAACACACAAACACACACACACACACACACACACATGTAACAATCCCCAAATACACCCACACCCCCCAAAATTCCCCACCCCCTAAAAACACACAAGCATCCACACAATAGACCAAGTAAGACTGTCCACAGCTCACTGATGATGGTCCTTAAGTTAAGTGCAATTATAGCTCTGGGATAAAAAAAAACTGTTCAGGAAATGTGTGGTCTGAGTTTTAATTGTTCTGATTCTTCGACCAGAAGGCAACAGTTCATAAAGATTGTAGGCAGAATGGGAAGAGTCTCTGAGAATGTACCAGCATCCGTGGCCTATTGGTCAGGTGGTCTGTGGTTCAAGCCCTACGTGAGATCACAATAGTGGCAACTCACATGTTGCTTGTTATAATCCACCTATCTGTGAAGGTGACCCAGCTGGCCGTGTGCAAAAGGCAGATGTTGAAATTTTCAACATCTGGCAAAGCCAGTGTTTACTCTGCGACTGCAAGCGCATATCTGAATGGTTGGCCAATGTTTGCTGAAGTCTTATGACTGAAAGGATGGCAGGATACCCTCTTGGTCTTTTCCCATCACTTACCAGTTGATGCTTAAAATAAGCAAGACAAACAGAAGGACACGAAGCCAGGCACGTTGCCAAGGAATGCCGCCATGGGTCGTTTCCTTCTCCAGCGGCTTCAAGGGCCGCTTGTGGCCACCAAGAAGCTGCCTGCATTTAGTTCATTGCTTTTGAGCAGAAAGCTTTAGAGCTGCGTCCAGAAAATGAGACTTCGCTGGGAGTGGCATTTTGTGGTTCAAATATTTTACTAGTTTACCAAAATATAAAATACAGCAATTCAAAGAAAAATGAAGATAATGGGAAAACAGGGGAGGAAAAGGGGAAGATGAGAAAATGTTGGATAAGAAATAAAGAAAACCTCAACTTTTGACTTTTATATGATCCTATGTACTAGCCATTTGTATAACAACAAACCTGGGTTCAGCAAAACCAAAAATCAAAGTTTCATCTTAAGCAGAAATTCCAGAAGTAGAAACAAAATTAACCGTATTCTTTTCTTTAATCAAAGTGGTCAGTTTAGCCATCTCTGCCACCAACCTTTGCAGCCATTCATCCATTGGGGGAATCAAAATATCCTTCCATTTTCTGTGCATAAAGTATTTTTCCTGCATTTTCTCTTCATTTTGGGCCGAATATGGTCAACATTAATGAGGGCAGATGCAATGGTATGGCCAAAACTCCGTGGTTTCTATCTCTGCTGCACCCACGATGCACATAAAAACCAGTCCAGGTTTTGATTTTGCTATCTTGGCTTTCCTGATCACGTTCTGTGGGTGTCCAGGATCCCAGGGATCCCTCTTGAGACCAAGTTCCATGCTGGAAATTCCTGAAGGGGGATGTAAAATTTGCATCATTCTTGCTAACATTCCCTTCATGCTTAAAAGTGGGTCTAGAGCAGTATAACCTTCAATGTTGAGGGCCCGGGGATGGCTGGGCAAGAAGCCACGCCAACACACCATTATTTAGACACTGTGGGAAACCCCACTTCCTCTTAGAGAAGAATGAAATATTTTGGGGAACTATTAAGAGGCAGAATAGTATATTTCCCAAATGGAGAAACATATTTTTAAAGGCAGGAAGCAGCCCCCAAGTCTTTCTTCATAGCTCACAGGAGATGCCCTCACTTAAGGAGATAAACAGCTTATTGAAAGAGGAAACCAACTGTCTAGATGGCTCCATTCATAAGCAAAGCAAACACTGCTGGCAGAAATCCATTCAAGGCAGAATATTTCGAAACTCCTTGAAGTAAAGTTTGACGGCTAAGAAAAGCAGAGCGACAGCAAGATCCAGTACAGAACATAAGCCATCAACCACAATGGGAATTGCCCAACACCCTCTTTAGAAACACAAAGTCCATATTGCACAAATCCCAAACTTCAAAAACAGAGCCATTTAAGAATCCTTCCTCTCACTCTGCTAATAGTTCAGCTGCCCCAGAACGGCATGCTGTCTTTTTGTTCATCAATAAACTTTCTTTCCAATCAGCCTCCATGTTGTTTCCAGCGTCTGTCTCCCAGCTTGGAACTGAACCAGGTGGATTTTATTTCCAGCAACACCAACATGGTGGTCAGTTGTGCAAGCCATTGGAGTGTGCAGTCAAGGACTGAGTCATGTGAATGTGACTTTGCACTAGATGGATGGCTATAAAAAGGTGGAACCCGCTGCCATTCAGTGCAGGAGCAGCTTACCTAATACCCAGCTATAGTTACAAGCCTCTCCTCCCATTACTACAACAATCATTGTATAAGCAATGTTTAAACAACCCAAGATATAGCTGCTGCCATATCCTTGCTAGTTTGCTACCAATGACAGAATGGAGATCTGTAACAACTTCCTCCCCCCGCCTTTTTTTTGTATGACATAGTGAGGTTTGAGGCTGAGCAAGTTGCAAACAGAAATCGAAGTTATTGTCTGCCGCTTTAAGTGCAGAAATCTGGACGAGTGATCTAGAATGTAGGAGTTCCTCCTTGAGGTCATGCAGACATTTGTTGGGAGAAAGGTCTCCCTTGTCTTTGGAGTTTCTACAACACTCCTCCACTCCCTCCCTCCCTCCCTCCCTCCCTCTCTCATTGTGATTATTTGGTGTGGGGGGGGGGCATAAGATACTTTGGAGTTTGACCCCCGAAGGCTGATAAGGAAGCAGCTCAGCCCGACTCACGAGCAGCATCAAAGGCAGGGTCAATGAATCCAAGTGCCCTGCTTATAAAGTCCTCCTTTCACGCCTGTGAACTTGTGAAAGAGCCTCATTGAATCCTCTCCGCTGGCATCTGGAAGCCACCCCGCCAACCAGCAGAAGGGAAGGCTGGTCGCCCCGAACACGAGGCAGAAGTGAGCCCCGGGGAACATGGTAAGTCTCCGCTCCTGGCTTGGATCTGTGGGAGCGCTTGAACCCTCGGGGTGCATCTCCAAAGGCCCACGAGCGGCAGTCGCAGAGTGGCAAGAGCAACAGCCCTGGCCAGCCACATGGGTTGTTGGCTCTCTTGGTCCAGGGGATCCCTTTCCATGCACGGTTGCCCCTAGCACAGCCTGGAAGAAGAATCTTAGCGGCCCTCCTCAATTTTCTCTTTGCCAAAGGACAAGGAGGATGCCCAGATGTTCTCCCAGAGGACAGGTGTAGGGCAAGGCAGGCAGTTATTGCCATCCAACCTCCGACTTGCCTTGGCGTTTCATCGGGGCTCTGTGGCTTGAGGGCAACGCTAAACATCCCCATCCAGCTGCAGAAAGACTGCCCCCCCCCTCCAAAAAAAACCCCCTGACTGGTTCTGGTGCTGGCAAGCAGGGATGCGCTTCATAAATTGTTAAGGCTGAGTTAAATCTGTTTTTCTCCTAGCAGAACCCCCAGGCAGGCAGGAGTGGCTCCACTCTGACCCAATTCCCCTCCTCTTCATCACTGCCAAACAAATAACTGCAAAAATGGCTGCAGGCAAGATATTTTTTTTTAAAAAAAAAACCCAAAACATCTCTGTTGGATGGAGATGAAAAACGAGTGAAATGGTGTCTGACGGAAAGGAACTTCATTCTCCAAAGTAGCTTCAAATGGAAGAATGCTTTCTATTATTGTTGAAGTTACACGGCACAAACTTTGGGGGATACGAGATGGTTTTGCAGGAGAGAAAATTTTGCATTATTCAATTGAAACCTGTTGAAGGATCCGGCTAGATCAGCCCCAAAGTCCTTCCTTTCCCCCCCATCACTAGAGCAGCCCTTGCCAGCCCTCAGTCTTTGGCCCCAGGAAAGCTCCATCCTGCAGGGTTGTGCCAGTAATTTTCCTCAGTGAGACCCAAGTCAAAGGAATCTATTTTTCTGTCCTCTGTCATAGCAGCCAGCAACGCGCCTGAAGCTCTGGTGTTCCTTGGCCCCTTCCTGAACATTTCCAGATCGGCCCTGTGGTGCAAAGCCTCCAGAAATCTTCCAGAGTAACGGAGCTGGCCCGTCTTCCAGTTCCAGGCAAGCCACAGAGAGAAAGAGAGAGAGAGAGAGAAAGAAAATTGCATCAATGTGCAAGGTGGATGAGTTGCCTTCCAGCCTCACCCTCCAAGTACCTCCTTCAGCTGGAGAGAGAAACTTGTTTGTCTGCTCTCAGAAAACTCCCACACAACACAACACAACACAACACAACACAAGGTGTTGGGAACAGGAGTAGCCTCCCGAAACTTATTTTCTGAGACTTCTGTTCCCAGCCTTGGACTCAGCAGATAAGACAACTGCTTGCGGTGGAAGTGGGACCTCTCTTCCGGCAGTTTCACCAGCCTGGTTCCAGCACAAAGAAGGAACGGTATCTCAACAGCTAGACTTTCTCCCTGGATCCCAACCTCTTTGCAAAATATTTACTTTAGGGAAAAGCTCCATGTTTTCCTCTCCTAACTGAAGGTAAGCCAGCGAGGGAAGAAGTTTGCTAAATGTTTGGATGAAGTTTTTGTTGTTGCTTCGAGTGCTTGGGGGCTGACTCTCCACCGTAGCTCTTGGCACTCCTTTGCATGACGCCATCTCTGAGAAACAGACCTGGGTTTGTTAATCCAGTATTGTCTACCCTTCAGTTGCAGCAATTCAGGACTGGGGGACCAATGGTCCAGAATGGGGTGGGGGTGGATGAAGTCCCTTGCATTGGAGGTACTCAGCGGGCGGTTCGGGGGGTGTTTTAATTCCTGCCCTGTGAAGTGGTCGCACCTGATGAGCTCTAGATCCCCATCAGTGGTGGGATTCAATTTTTTTTACTACTGGTTCTGTGGTCGTGGCTTGGTGGGAGTGGCAGGGGAAGGATACTGCAAAATCCCCCTTCCCCCCCCCATCCCACTAACCTGCTTTCCAGCTCCGTTCTCCTGTGCAGGGCAACCAAAGGAGACCCAGCCAATCAGCTGGGACTCAATGGGAGGCAGAGAAGAGATGGGGTTGGTGGGCCCAGTCAGAGGTGGGATTGGCCGGTTCTCCGAAAGACTCCAAATTTCCACTACTGGTTCTCCAGAACTGCCCAGAACCGGCTGAATACCACTTCTGGACCTCATCCAATGTGAGGGTTCTAGGCAGTGGTGGGATTCAGCCAGTTCTCACCAGTTCAGGAGAACCAGTGTTTTAACTTTCTGAGCAGTTTGGCGAACTGGTTGTCAGAAGAACTCCTTAGAGCAGAGAACCAGTTGTTAAATTATTTGAATCCCACCACCGGTTCTATGTTCCAGCTGGTCATTGCATCTAAAAAGCCAGCCCCAGAGACTTGACTAACGCAGAAGAGGAAGTGTCCTTGGCTGTCGGTGGGGACAGAGCAGAGAAACTTCTGTGGCTTCCTACAGCTATGGTTGCCTCGGCGTCTTGCTGCTTAGCCCGATCTACAGATTGCATTTGATCCAGTGCAACTGAGCTCCAGGGGTGTGAACAGTAGAACCGAGGCATTCTGCCTCAACATGCCAACAATGGGCCCATTCTCCTGGCTCTGTTATTTTTTTCTCTTTCTCTCTCTCTTGCGGGATTAGAAAGCAAACAAAGCTAACCAAAAGCAAATAGAGTGACCTTTGCATCACTTTAGCCAGTCGGTCTAATTTAGAATCTGTCACAATCACTTTTTTTCTCTCTCCCTCCCCTTGCTGTAGCGAACAAACAGAACTCCTGCTGGACTCAAACCCAGAGCAGGAGCGCCGGGACAGAGCTGCCTTTCCCCAAAGAAGAAGGGGATCCGACTTGCTCCTTCTCTTTCGTGTCCCCGCAGATCCACGCGCTAGGGCAGGCGAGGCAGCTGGCAGTCAGGACGAGCAGCAGCGATGGAGCCGAGTGGTACCGTCCCCCCGTCTCCACCCCACAGCAGCTGGACTGCCTTCCCCCAGCGGACCTTGGAGGCTGTGGATATCATTGTCCTGGTTTTGTACTTCATCTTTGTGTTGGCTGTGGGCCTGTGGGTAAGGAGGGCTGCCTCTCGGGCATCGGCTGGGCACGCGGGGCGGAAAGATCCATTGGGCTCTGCAGGCGGTTTCAGGGAGGGAGAGCCCCCAAATGTAATGGTTAGAATAGAATAGAATGGAATGGAATGGAATAGAATAAAATAGAATAGAATAGAATAGAATGGAATGGAATGGAATAGAATAAAATAGAATAGAATAGAATGGAATGGAATGGAATGGAATGGAATGGAATGGAATGGAATGGAATGGAATAGAATAGAATAGAATAGAATGGAGGAAGGAGAATAGAATAGAATATGGAATGGAATGGAATGGAATGGAATAGAATAGAATAGAATAGAATAGAATAGAATAGAACAAAACAGAATAGAATTCTTTATTGGCCAAGTGTGATTGGACACACAAGAAATTTGTCTTGGTGCAAATGCTCTCAGTGTACATAAAAGAAAACATACATTCGTGAAGAATCAAGAATCATAAGGTATAACAAAGGGGACAACAAGCAATCAAATCATACTAGGAAACAATCAATATAAATCGTAAGGATACAAGCGACAAAGTTACAGTCCTCCAGTCACAAGTGGGAGGGGATGGGCGATAAGGAGTGACGAGAAGATTAACAGTAATAGCAGTGCAGACTTTGTAAATAGTTGGACAGTGTTGAGGGAATTATTTGTTTAACAGAGGGATGGCGTTTGGGAAAAAAACTGTTCTTGTGTCTAGTTATTCTGGTGTGCAGGGGTCTATAGGGTTGTTTTGAGGGAAGGAGTTGAAAGAGTTTGTGTCTGGGATGTGAGGGGTCTGTAAATATTTTTACAGCCCTCTTTTTGACTTGTGCAGCATACAGGCCCTCGATTGAAGGCAGGTTGATAGTAATTGTTTTTTCTGCAGTCCTAATTATCCTCTGAAGTCTGTGTCTGTCCTGTTGGGTTGCAGAACCAAACCAGACAGTTATAGAGGTGCAGATGACAGACTCCATCATTCTTCTGTAGAACTGGATCAGCAGCTCCTTGGGTAGTTTGAGCTTCCAGAATTGGCGCAGACAGAACATTCTTTGTTGTGCATTTTTTAGTTCTCCTTAGGAGCCAAGCACAGGTGGTGGATTTGAGGGTCTTTCTAGAGACACAGCATCCCATAGTTTGGTCTGTTTTTATTAGCTTCGTAAATCTAGCTGATATCTGGAAGGCTCCTGTGTAAGACCTGATCCAGCTGTGTCTTCCAGGGCAACCTTCTCACAGGGAGGGCTGGCCCTGTCCTGGCCCTTTGTCAGCTGGGCAGCCCTGCGGTGGGAGGGAGTTTGTGGCATCGTAAGCTCACTTAAGCCGGGGATTTTCCAAATGGATGATTTGTGTTTGCGGAGGGGGTTGTGTGTTAAAGGTTATGCAGGGGCTGTAGGTTGAACTCATCCAAGGTGCATTGCGGTTCAATTGCTTTTTGCTGCTAAATCTTTACTAGCAAATCCCCCGGGGACACGAAGGAAGCAGCTAGAAACCACTCATCCTTAAGAGGGGTGTGTGTGTGTGTGCGTGTGTGTGTGTGTGTGTGTGTGTGGTTTAGAGCCATTGTTAACTCCTGGTGACTGCCTGGACTTGAATAGAGCTATAAGCCCATCCTTTTCCTGAGCTCTGGAGGGCTTTTTGGGGGGGGAGGGCAATTCAGGGCATTCGCGGATGGTGGCTTCAACGGCACCTCCGTGGCCGCCAGATTGACTTTTTTTCAGCTCCCTGGAGTAGCCTGAGTTCCTGCTCCTCAACTGGGGGAACACATCCAGTTTTGCTCTCGACCTTTCTTGACATAGAGCAGAGGCTACGTTCCAAGAAAGGGAGATGGGCCAAGGGAGGATGCAAATCGAAATGTAATTTAATTGATCTGAATTCTCAGTCAACTAACCTGGAGTGCGATTCATTGGATTGCTCTCAATGTGCTTCGCGGTCTCCCTTTTCTGCCACTTTTGGCGCCAGCTCTGGGGACAAAGTCCTGTGGGGCCACCTCGGTCTGCAGGAGAGGAGTGTACCTGGGGTGTTCCTCCCTCTCCACCTGAGGCCCACCTGAGATGGCTCTTTTATAGGAGCGAATGGTGGTGGACAAACTCTCCGTGGAAGCTGGACAGCAGCTCAGGGGTTAGATCTGTGGTTTGTTCCTGCTCTGGAGGACACATTACAGCAGCTACTGTTAGAATAGAATAACAGAGTTGGAAGGGACCCCAAAGGTCTTCTAGTCCAACCCCCAGCCTAGGCAGGAAACCCTACACCACTTCAGACAAGTGGTTATCCAATAACTTTTTAAAAAAAAACTTCCGATGTTGGAGCATTCACAACTTCTGTTCTCTTGGATCAGGCCAAGAATAAAGAATGGCTTAACCTATGACCAGAATTATCCAAAGTCCACAAAATCTATCCTGGCTAGTCTAAAGGAAAGAAGAATTAAGGGTGACATGATAGCAGTATTTCAGTATTTGAGGGACTACCAGAAAGAAGAGGGAGTCAAATTATTCTCCAAAGCGCCAGAGGGCAGGACAAGAAGCAATAGATGGAAACTAACCCCCAAAAAAGAAGCAACCTGGAATGAAGGGGAAATTTCCTAACAGTGAGGACAATTAACCAGTGGAACCGCTTGCCACCAGAAATCATGGGTGCTCCAACACTGGTGGTTTTAAAGAGCCTAAACAGCCACTTGTCTGAAATGGTATAGGGTCTCCTGCTTGAGCGGGGGGCTAGACTAGAAGACCCCCAAGGTCCCTTCCAGCTATTCTATTCTATTCTATTCTATTCTATTCTATTCTATTCTATTCTATTCTATTCTATTCTATTCCCATTCCTTCCCTTCCCTTATTCTATTCTATTCTATTCTATTCTATTCTATTCTATTCTATTCTATTCTATTCTATTCTATTCTATTCTGCAAAATATATTCTGTAAATGCATTAGTGTCCCACTTCACAACTTTTGTGGCCAGATCCTGGGTCAGGCATAGTCTTTTCCCACACCACGTGGTTTGCAGAGACTAACACTTGCTAAACATCTCACAGTTTCTGCTGTGAAAGGCAGACTTTGACATTTTTGTGGCATTGTTCATCATCTGGCCAGCCTTGTAGTTCAACTTTAGTTCAACATCTTGCAGAGTTGTGCGAGATAGGATCCTTGCCCTTGATCAGGGGAATCCAGGAAGTCTCTCGTTTCTCCGGGCACCCTCTTCCAGGTCAGGGCCACCCACTTGGCCTGGAGCCTGGGCAAAGACCACAATCGCATTATCACATAGTTTCATGGCTCCTGGCTCACTTGTTTGCACTACTGGCTGGGTCAAGGCTACGCTCTTTGGGCTCTGCGAGGCTGCCAACTTCACAGGACTTTGGTACACAACAAGGCTACCAAGAGGGGTGGATCCTGCTTCAGTAGTGGTATTCTACCGGTTCAGCCCAGTTCATGTGAACCAGTAGTAAAAAAAAATGCTACTGTTTGGCCAAACCAGTATTTCTTTTTTTTTTTCCCCTCTCAACAATCAGCTGTTCCAATGATCAGCTATGCCAGGATGCCCCTCACCGTCTTACTGCTTTGCCCAGGAGGCTTCCCTGAGGCCCAGGAGGCAAAAGGGGCATGCGGAAGGGGTGCTGTGCGGCCCTCCATGCGCTCCATTTTTTGCCTCCTGGGCCTCAGAGAAACCTCCTGGGAGCAAAAACGGGCTCTCGGGAGGCTTCCCTGAGGCCCAGGAGGCCAAAAAAAGGATGTGGGAGGGTGGGTGCTGCAAAAGAAGAAGAAGAAGAAGAAGAAGCAGCCATGCCCACCCAGTCACATGGCCATGCCCACCTAGCCACACCCACAGAACTCCGCTGGCTGAGGAATTCTGGGAGTTGAAGTCCACAAGTCTTAAAGTTGTCATGATTGGAGAGCCCTGATTTAGACGACTGATTTTTGCAGCGCTGATACCTCAGAATTCTGGGAGTGGAAGTCCACAAGTCTTAAAATGGCCGAGGCTGGAGACTCCTCTTCTAAGGGATTCTCTTGCCAAAGAACTCTGCCCCATCACTCTGCAAGGAAACCAGCAAAATGCCAGGTGCCCATCCCTCTACCCGAAGCATCTTATCAGTTGTAGCTCTGTGGCCCAACTTGGCACAACATCTAACAAAAACTGGTTTTTTGATGGGCATTTTTCCATGAATTAAAATCATCTGTCTCAACACCGGGTACGGGTACTTGACAGTAGGAAATGCTCAACCAGCAAGCTGAAGGTGTACTGTAGAACCTTGATTCGGAGGCCTTCTTCTTCTTCCTGTGTCTCTTTCAACATCCCCAAAACAGGAAACCCCAGGAATTTGCCCCAGGGTGAAATGGGACCCTTCCCATTGTCAGCTTGGAAGCCATTTTTCTTTGAGGCTTCTGAGCTGCCACGTTCAGTGTCGGGGAATTCGAGAAGGGGATTTCAAGGAGCAGTGGAAGGTTTCTCATAACAACATTCCTTTCTCAGAAAGTCAAGGACATGTCACCCTGCACCTGGAGGGGAGTGACTGGGGACAGACTCCAGATGGAACAAAGTAATGATTGGACCATGTGATGAACTATTGGGTGTAGGGGCTGGATTTTGGGTTTTCTTTGGGCTAGGGAAAACCTGGAACTTTCAGATTTGAGTTTTCCCCAGATGTGCCAATATGACATCTCTAAATTAAATGGGTCTTTGGGAAGATGATATTCTTGGGGTCTTTTTCCTTGGAGGTTGTTATTTAGAACACTGACACCCATATTTGCTCCTACTTGCCTGTTTGTTATGGGTGGGTGGGTGAATTGTAATTTGTGGAATCCTTCATATTCTCAGCCAATAAAGTCATTTGTCTTTTAATATTTCAGTCCATGTGGAAGACAAAGCGAAGCACCGTCAAGGGTTACTTCCTTGCTGGAGGCGAGATGGTTTGGTGGCCGGTAGGTTATCTCCAACTTTAGCTTGTCTACAATGTTTTGTTTCCTATCATCATCTTCTTCTGCCTAGAGCTGGCCCAAGGTGAGCTATCTGAGTCAGGACTAGAACTCACCATCTCTAAGTTTCTAGCCTGGTGTCTTCACCATTACAACAAGGTACTTTGAAAGGGCCAACTGGTTTGGGTTTCTGGCCACTGACAATTTCCTTCCACACCCAGCCCTAAATCACCCAGACCAGGGGTCTTCAACCTTGGCTACTTTAAGACTTGTGGACTTCAACTCCCAGAATTCCTCAGCCAGTGAAGTCTGAAGGAGCCGGAGAAGCCTCTCTTGTTGATAGACAAGATGCTGCCAAAGGCCAGGTTGTCTGAACTTGCCTGGGAATTTAAGGAACAGCAGTGAGAGTGTCAGCTTCTCCTCTAGCAGGTCTCCAAACTTGGCAACTAGAAAGAGTGGAAAGAAAAGCAACCAGGATGATGAGGGGACTGGAGGCTAAAACATACGTTGAATGGTTGCAGAAACCAGGCATGTCTAGTTTAGGGAAGGGAAGGACCAGGGGAGACATGATAGCAATGTTCCAATATTTGAGGGGCTGCCACAGAGAGGATTGGGCTGATCAAGGAGAGATTCAACCTAGAAATAAGGAGAAATTTTCTGGCAGAACAATCAACCAGTGGAACAGACTCTGCCTTTGGAAGTTGTGGGAGCTTCATCACTTGAGATTTTCAAGAAGAGATTGGACTGTCATTTGTCAGAAATGGTGTAGTGTCTCCTGCTTGGGTGGGGGGATTGGACTAGATGACCTACAAGGCCCCTTCCAACTCTGTTAATCTGTTAAAGAATTTTTAGCTTTCAATATCCCCTGATACAATGAAAACTTGTGGACTTCAACTCTGGGAGTTGAAATCCACAAGTCTAAAAGTTGCCAAGTTTGGAGACCTCTCTGTCCTATAGTTTTATTTATTTATTCATTTGATTTATTTGATTTGTCAATCGCTTACAAGATAATAGATATAAGTATAAGCATGAGTAAGAATACAGGAAATAGGTACGAATAAATGGGGACAATAGGACAGGGACGGTAGGCACAATGGTGTACTTATACAAATCCCTTACAGACCTCTTAGGAATGGAGTGAGGTCAAAAGTGGTTAGTTTGAGGTTAAAGGAGTGGGGGTTAGAGGATGTAAGAACAGAGTCAGGTAGTGCATTCCAGGCATTGACCACTCTGTTGCTGAAGTTGTACTTTCTACAATCAAGTTTGAAGTGGTTTACATTGAGTTTGTATCTGTTGTGTGCTCTTGTATTGTTGCAGTTGAAGCTGAAGTAGTCATTAACTGGTAGGACATTGTAGCAGATAATTTTGTGTGCTACGCTTAAGTCTAACCATAGGCAGCATAGTTCTAGGTTGTCCAAGCCCAAAATCTCAAGCCTGGTGATATAGGGTATTCTGTTCTGAGTAGGGGAGTGTAGTACTCTTCTCATTAAATACTTCTGGACTCACTCAATTGTATTAATGTCCAATATGCAGTGCAGATTCCAGACTGATGAGCTGTATTCGAGTATTGGTCTGGCAAAAGTTTTGTATGCTCTAGTTAGCAATTCAATATTTCCGGAGGAGAAGCTTCGTAAGATTAGATTTACAACTCTTAATGCCTTTTTGGCAATGCTCTTGTACTGAGCTCTGGCGCTTAGGTCATTTGATATGAGAACTCCAAGGTCCTTGACAGAGTGAGGATAATCAATGAGGTCATATCTGCCTATTTCATATTTGGTGTACTGATTTTTTTGACCAATGTGTAGCACAGAGCATTTGTTGGTCGAGATTTGGAGTTGCCAGATGTTTGACCATTCAGACACATAATCAAGGTTGCTTTGAAGGACAGTAGCATTGCCAGTGGTGTTGAATAGCTTTACATCATCTATGAAGAGGACGCAGTTGCTTATAAGGTGATCGCAAAGGTCATTTATATAGAATATAAAGAGTGTGGGTCCTAGAATGCTACCTTGGTGGACACCGCTATTAACTGGAGCAGGGTTTGATACAGTGCTCCCTATTTTTACTATTTGTTAGGAATATAAGCCACCTAACAGGTATTTGGATTGGAAATATATAAACCAGGATAGACATTTTAATACTGTCTCTTAAGGGAATGCAAAAACTGCAATTGGGTGTGGTTCTGCAAATGGCCATGAGATGGAGCCAGAAACCTGAGTTATTCAGAGTGTGTCTGAGTGAGTCTCTGTTTCCTTCTGTTGGAGAGTATTGCCGTTCCTCCATTTTTCCTAATTGACTGATATTACTGGATTTGATGTAAGTCTGATACTGAACTGTTTTTGACATTGGAATTTGTTATTGGATTATCCCTGGATTGAAAACTGACTGATCTTACCTGTGAATGATTTTGGACTCCTTAGCTTGAACTTTGCTTACACGTTTCTGGAAGTAAAAACCTACATTTACTGTACAGTGTATCTGTGTGCTGTGTGTGTATTATTCAAACACTACTCTCAAATACGTCTCCCTGTATGCGCTCATTCTCCTAACGGGGAATTACCTCAACACTATTTGTTGCCTGTTTGACAGAAATGCAGTAATCCACTTATGGAGGGATCCAGAAATGCTGTAAGAGTTTAGTTTTAACAGTAGTTTGTCGTGTACCACTGAATCAAAGGCTTTGCAGAAGTCTATGTAAATTGCATCTATAGCTTTACCCTGGTCGAGTAGAGTAGTCCATATGTTTTTGCAGTGTAGGAGTTGTAGATTGCAGGACAATTTTTTCCTGAAACCAAATTGTTTTTTGGAGAGTAGGTTGTTTGACTCTAAGTGGAGAGTGATGAATTGGTTAATGATTGATTCCATGATTTTGCACGTGACACAACACAGTGAGATTGGTCTGTAGTTTTCAACCAGGCTGGGGGTCACCTTTTTTGAAGATAGGGATGACCGTAGCTAAGGACCATAGGGTTGGAAAGGAGCTGGTTCTGAATGATATCTCATATATAATCCTTAGGGGTTCCGCTATGGCAGAGGAGAGCTTTTTTAAGAAGTATGCGCATGTTCCATCTGGGCCAATAGATAGGGATGGTTTTAGGTTTCGTAGTGCCTTTTCTAGTTATCTTCTGTAATGTCAATATGTAGTACGTTATTACAGATAGTTGTGATACGACTAGGAAATGTGGGGCATGAACCATTGCTGTTTACAAAGACTGAACTGAAGAATGTGTTGAAGAGATTGGCCTTCACAGCTTCATCATTGCAGTCTTTCCCATTTGGTCCTTTTAGGGGTGGGATGGTTCTTGATACTTTAAGTTTGGTGTTAACAAAATTGTAGAAGGCGTGAGTGGATATTGTACGTAGGAGGTTTTCCTCTTGCTTGCAGTGGTAATTTGTGCATTCTGCCTTTATCTGTCGGCATTGGGTGTTGTATTGGTTTTTAAAGTTTGCTACGTAGCTAGTTTTGTTTTTAAAAACAAAAATTAGTTTAGTTTTTCTTTTTTAGTGTCAGGATAGGCATCCCAAAGGAGAAATTGGGTCTTGGGTCAGGACAGGTGATGCAGAACCCCTTCATGGCAGGTTTTGCACTCAAATGGCAGGTTTTGCACTCAAATGGCAGGTTTAGAAGGTGCTCCAATACAAGATGTTTTATCATTGTCATTTAGCCCCAACAAGACTTGCAAAAATATATCCAAATTTAAACCCTAATTGCTGGAAATGTAAACAGGTGCAAGGTAGCTTTTTCCATGTATGGTGGCTTTGCCCGGAAATTAAAAAATACTGGATCAAAATACAAAAATGGTTAAAAGAAATTATACACTGCCGAATAGAATTGAAGCCAGAACTGTTTCTATAGGGGATTATTAAGGGAACATATCCTAAAAAGATTAAATATTTGATCTTACACATCACCACAGCAGCGAGAATTGCACTTGCACAATCTTGGAAAATTGCTACTATACCAACAGATTGTTTAGTAATAAAAAAAAATGTCGATTGTGCAGAAATGGACAAACTAGAATTAAACAATAAGGAAGACTCAGAATATTACTCAATTTGGGATAACTGATATCAATGGATAGATAGTAGGAATATGAAGTGGATAGATCAGAATAAGATATAAACATGTATATGTATATGATTAATTAGAAATGTATGAAAATGTTTGAATATAGCTAAGATTTTTAGTACTGTCAAAGAATGATGGAGAATTGTACAAATATATATATATTTTAGGGCTTACTTGTATTTTAACGTTTCAAATTTCAGTAAAGGCTTAAAATTAAAAAAAAGGAAGAAAGAAGGCACTCCAGATTCTCACCGATCCCCGATTTCCTTTTCACAGGTGGGAGCTTCCCTGTTTGCCAGTAATGTTGGCAGCGGGCATTTCATCGGCTTGGCTGGCTCTGGGGCGGCTTCTGGAATTGCTGCCACGGCCTATGAATGGAATGTGAGTATCATTTTTATGGTCCCTTTTATCCTGGCTGGCACAGGGCAGGGGGCAAAGTTTTCCTCTAACCTGCAGGTTCATCTCTCTATTTCCTGGGCCTGATCTGACTGATTGAAGGAGACCAAACTTTCCCAGGAGCTGTTTAAAGAAGTCCGCAAAAGTGTTGCGTCTTTTGTGTGAAGAGCTGATGCTCCTTCCTCCCAGCTCTGGTGCCTGGCTAGAGGCATCTTGGATTGAGTCAGTCTTTGCACACCCGGAGTATAGAGACAAGTAAATGGAACGCTGAGACAGAATAACGGTGTTGGAAGGGACCTTGGAGGTCTTCTAGTCCAGCCCCCTGCACAAGCAGGAGATTCTATCCCTTTTCAAACAAGTGGCTGTCCAGTCTCTTCTTAAAAGCGCCCACAACTTCTGGAGGTAAGTGATAGCAATTGTCCAGTGTTTGAGGGGCTGCTCCAGAGAGGAGGAAGGGGTCAAGCTATTTTCCAAAGCACCCGAAGGCCAGACAAGGAATAATGGATGGAAACTGAACAAGGAGAGAGATTCAACCTGGAAATAAGGAGGAATTTTCAGACAGTGAGAACCATCAACCCATGGAACAGAAGCCCTGGGAGCTTCATCACTGGAGGCTTTCAAGAAGAAAGTGGCCTGCCATCTGTCAGAAATGGTGTAGGGTCTCCTGCTTGGGCAAGGGGTTGGACTAGATGACCTACAAGGTCCCTTCCAACTCTGTTAATCTGTTATCTGCAGATTTTCGGAGGGAGGGGTCTTCCGTCTCCCTAATGGCTCTGTGGTCTCTCCTCAGGGGATGTTTTGTGTCCTGGTGCTGGCGTGGCTGTTCGTTCCCATCTACCTTGCAAGCGGGGTAAGTAAGTCAGCGCCCAGAAAGCTCTCCTCTGCTCTCCTGGAGAGTCGAGCCCTTTTCGATCGCACCTGCCCTTTCTTCCGCCTTTACCTTCACCCGAGAAGGGCCTTGTGCAGCCAGGCCATAGGGCAGAGCCTCTGGGGTTTGGCTCCCTGTCCAAAGGGGCTGGAAATGCCTTCCTTCCTTTCTTTTTTTTTTTGAAACACATTTTATTAATTCTAACAAGAAACAAACAAGACAAAACATCATTAAACACTTTAAAAAAAAGGTTTTGTTTTTTTTTAGTCCTTCCTTCCTTTCTTAAAGCGCTTTGAGCAAGGGCATCTCTCAGCCTCTTTGCTCCGCTGGCAAGACCGGGCACTGTCAGTTCCTGAGCGCACATCTTCATGCACCCCTGGGTCTTAGCATCTTTAGAGGCCCCCAAGGTGGCTTATATTCCATAATGTCAGAAGTGGCATTCAGCCGGTTCTGGCCAGTTCTGGAGAACCGGTAGCGAAAATTTTGAGTGGTTTGGAGAACTGGCCAATCCCGCCTCTGACTGGCCCCGCTAACCCCATCTCTTCTCTGCTTCCCATTGAGTCCCAGCTGATTGGCTGGGTCTCCTTTGGTTGCCCTGCACAGGAGAACGGAGCTGGATAGCAGGTTAGTGGGGTGGGGAGGGATTGGGGATTTTGCAGTAACCTTCCCTGGCCACGCCCACCAAGCCACACCCACCAAGCCAAGCCACACCACACCACGCCCACCAAGCCACGCCCACAGGACTGGTAGTAAAAAAAATTGAATCCCACCATTGGAAGGAAGAGAGGAACAAAAGGAGAAGGAAGAGAGGAAGGAAAGGGATGGAAAACAGGAACAAAATCAGTGATGGGATTCAAAAACTTTTACTACCGGTTCTGTGGGCGTGGCTTAGTGGGAGTGGCAGGGGAAGGATACTGCAAAATCCCCCTTCCCTCCCCACCCCCCTAACCTGCTTTCCAGCTCCCTTCTCCTGTGCAGAGTAACCAAAGGAGACCCAGCCGATCAGCTGGGACTCAATGGGAGGCAGAGAAGAGATGGGGTTGGCGGGGCCAGTCAGAGGTAGCATTTGCCGGTTCTACGAACTACTCAAAATTTCTACTACCGGTTCTCCAGAACCGGTCAGAACCTGCTAAATATCACCTCTGAACAAAAGGGGAAGGACGAGAGGAACAAAGGCAGTTGAACTTCCTACATCTTAAAGTTGCCAACGATGAGAAGCTCAGAGTGGAGGGGGGAGGGGCTTCCCACACCACTGTCCTTCACACCTGGACTGTAAACCCTTCAGCCTGGGGATTGACCAGTCCTTACTCTAAGTTTTTATTACACAAGGAGAAAGACCACTTGTGAAATTAGTAACGGGCCAAATGCCCCCTTAGCTGGTGTGCATAACTAGCAATTCTCAAATGAATTCCAACTAGTAGGCTGAAAGAAAAACAGGTCTACCTCTGTTTTACACCCCATTTGCTCCCTCTAGAAAATTTGAAGTACCTACTTTCTCCTCCTCGTGCACCAACCGTCAGCGCCTTCCAGCATTTAGCTCTGTTTTCCAAGCTCACTGGGTTTTCTATCTATTTCCTAGAGGAAGCAAATGGGGTGTAAAACAGTGGTGGAGCTGCCTCTCTCCTTCAGCCTCCTAGTTGAAATTCATTTGAGAATTGCTAGTTATGCACGCTAGCTAAGGGGGCATTTGGCCCGCTCCTAATGTCACAAGTGGTCTTTCTCCTTGTATAAGGATAATAATAATAAAAAACCCCTTAGATTAAGGGATTTATAGGGCTGTGTTTTCTGCAGGCTGCTTTGCAGCTGGGGTGGGGGTGGGGAAGGGACTGTGGTTGGCATAGTCAGTAGCACAGGAGGATTATTGGAACATGCCCACAATGTATTTTTCCTTAGCTCTCCTTCCTTCTCTTTTCCAGCACTCCAGGAGGCTTCATACTGTAGCTCCCAATAGGGACTGGTGTTTAATTACAGAGATAATCCTCCACGTATCACCATAATAGAGCCCCAAATTTATGTTGCTATAAGTGAAACATTTGTTAAGTGAATTTTGTCTCATTTTACGATCTTTCTAGCCACCATTGTCAAGTGAATCATTTCGGTTGTTAAGTGAGTAATCCAGCTGTTAAGTGAAGGCTGGCTTCCCCCGTTGATTTTGCTTGTCAAAAGGTGACCCCAGGATGCTACATAAATGATAAATATGAACCAGCTGCCATGCATCCGGATTTTGATCACATAACTATGGGATGCTGCAACGGTCATAAATGTGAAAAATGGTCCAAAGTCACTTTTTCAGTGCTGTTGTAACTTTGATTGGTTCCTAAATAAACCATTGCAAGTCAAGGATTTCCTGTAATTATTTTAATCAGTGTATTTGGCCACCCACTTTCCAGAGTGTCTTGGGGTAGCTAGCAAGGCATTAAAAGCCAACCCAAATAGGGGCTAACGGGGGCTTCGTTTGCTGGGGAGGTTGAAGATTTGAGAGGTAGAAGAAGGGTGTGAAATAATTCGTCTCCTAGGCTGTTTTGTATAAAATTCAAGATATCCCCAACAAATCAAAGCTACGGTTTGGTAAAAGATGTCATCCTTTTCGTCCTTCCCAGGTTACAACCATGCCAGAGTATTTGCAGAGACGGTTTGGTGGCAAAAGGATTCAGATCTTCCTTGCAATTCTCTACTTGTTTATCTATATATTCACCAAAATTTCAGTAAGTAAGGAGACGAGAGGAGACAGAACAGAACTGGCTTGGAAAGAGTAGGTCAACATAGGCTTCATAAGTGACTTTTTGATGTTTCTCGCGCATTGTGGCAGACCGACAGGTTACAGGAGGGAATTAGGGAGGTGCTGTGTTTGAGATCCCAAGGCTAAAAGATGCGCAGGACCAAAGTGGGCATAGAAGCCGCATCTGTGGGTAGCTTCTTTCCAAAGGCGCAGGTCTTCCTTGGCTTCACGATTCTAGGAAATGCGCAAATGAGTTAAGGAAACACTCACGGATGAAGTAGGGGCTTCAGAGTGAGTAGGGGGTGTGCCCTGATGTCCTAACCAAAACATGACACTCCCTGGGATGTGTGCTGCTGTGGCCTGTAGGCCGACAGCCTCTCCAGCAGCCAAATCAGAGGAGGAGGAGGAGGAAGCGTGGGAGTCAAGATCAGCATCAAGGCAACCTGGGAGCTCTGAGGGGGAAGAGGGAATGGAGTAGGCAGAGAGAGAGAGACAGAGGCGGAGCCTTGGCCATCCGTCAGCCCTCAGATGGAGAGTCAACAGCCCCCAGGTCTGGAAGTGGCTGATGAGGAGGAGGAACAGCTGAGTCCAGTGACTGATGCATGGAATGTACAGAATCAAAGGAGAGGAGAGCAGTGGAAATCTATCGGCTGGTCCTTGGGATGGAAGAGCCACTGCTGCTAATGAGGCCCCAATCTAGCTCTGGTGATAAAAGGCAGGTGGGGGTGGGAGATGAATGGACAACTATTCATCTCCCCGCTGGACAAACTTGTTAGCCTGCGGTGAGAGAGAGGGGGGGAGGAGGGAGAGGGAGAGGGAGAGAGGGTGGGCAGAGGCAGAGGCAGAGCCTGGGCTGTCTGTTATCCCTCAGATGGAGAGTCAATAGCCCCCAGGTTTGGAGGTGGCTGATGAGGAAGAGGAGGAACAGCTGGGTCCAGTGCCCGACGCGTGGAATGTACAGAAGGCAGAGGAGAGCAGAGCAGTGGAAATCTATGGGCTGGTCCTTAGGACAGAAGAGCAACTGCTGCTAGCAAACACTGCAGGTAGTCCTTGACCTACATCCACAACTGAGACATTGGTTTAGTGAATTTTGCCCCAGTTCTTGTCACAGGTTTTTAAGTGAATCAGTGCAGTTGAACAGATAAACAGATAATCAGAGTTGGAAGGAACCTTGTAGATCATCTAGTCCAACCCCCCCACCCCACCCAAGTGGGAGACCCTACACCATTTCTGATAAATGGCAGTTCAATCTCTTCTTGAAGGTCTCAAATGATGGCTCTCCCACAAACTTCTGAAGGCAACTTTCGTTCCATTGGTTGATTGTTGATAAGTGAGTCCCCCGGTTGTTAAGTGAATCCGGCTTCCCTGTTGACTTTGCTTGTCAGAAGGTCACAACAGGGAATCACGTGACCCAGGGACACTGTAACCGTCATGAGTACGAGTCACTTGCCAAGCATCTGAATTTTGATCACATGACCACAGGGATGCTATAAGTCATAAGTGTGAAAGAAGTCTGTAAGTCAGTTTTTTCAGTCCCGTTGTAAACTGTGAACAGTCATTAAATGAATTATTGTAATTCAAGGGCTACCTTTATTACTACAATGCCTGTGGGAGTCTGAATCCGAGGAGGAAGCCAGACAGCTGATAGGGAATGGGAGTGTGGCTCCGTTGGCTATGGAGGAAACTGGGAAGAGCAAAGTCCGGCTGGGCAGAGCAGGAGAGAGGTAGAACAAGGGAGAGGGAGTTCAGAGGAAGACCCAGGCCCACCCCCTCTTCATCCGAGGGCACGCAGGGAGGAATGAAGAAGGGAGCAATGTTACTTGTGTGGCTTATGTGGGAGGAAAGGGCCCTGATTCCCTTCATTAGCCACAGCTGGGAAGACAGTTGATAAGAAAGGCAGGCTGTGTGTGGCAGCTGCTGGGAGCAAACATGACTTTATCCTGTGTTGTTGTGGCTTATCTTCCCAACTGTGTGAGTTTTGCCGTGCCTTCAAGCCTGAGATTCTTGCTTCTGCTCTGCCAAACTAATTACTGCAGTTTGGTTTGTTTGGACTTTAAATTACAGTTTGTGTTGCTCATGTTTTGGACTTAATTTTCTGCAGCCAAAGGCTGTTCCTGGGATAATTTTTCTCCAGCCAGAAGGTAACCTGGACATTGGGAACAAATAAGGGACTCTTATTGCTTGTCTGACTGTGTTGCCTTTGTGCCATGCCCTGGGTCATCACATCTTCCTTCATCAGGATACGAAAGGAATCTAGGATTTTGATCACAGATCCATTCCTGAAAGTATGCAGGGAGGGCAGGCTCTCTCAAAACATTTCCACCAAGCATGGTTTTCCAAAAGAGTCCTAAAACTCACCCTGGGAGAAGCCCAAAGGATGTTAATATTTGCATCTTCAAACCATCCCTTTGGTTATCTTGCACAGCCTCAAACAAGGAAGAAAAAAAAATGAATTCAAAATGTTGCATTAAAGTGGAATCACAAAGCATTGGAGTTAAACTTTTTAATATTTAGTAGTTGTTCCAAGTTCTGTTAGGCCTGGGTCCAGAATTGCCCTCCTTATCTGATTTGTTTGCTGATATTTCAGTGCTGGTTTCCATTTGTTTGTTTTGTTCTTGTTTGAAAATCTATTCCCCAGAGAGAGAGAGAGAGAGAGGAAGGTGAAGGAATTGCCCACACTAAAGGAACGTGTTGTGTGTGTGGGCAGGCGGGCACAGACGATGGGCTAGTGTCCTTGTTTAGTCATTTACTCTTCTGTTTGACTACTCACATTTAATGAGTAACTGGCTAACCTTTTGCTTTGGTCACTTATTAACCACAGAGGACATTCAATCCCACCCAGGAAAGATGCCACTTCAGTTGGGTTGTTAGGTAGGAGTCCCAACATTTGGTTCCTATCCAAAATGTCTTCCCCAGGTTTTCAACTCTTGACAGATAAGAGAATGCAGACGTTTCAAACTGGGCTTTCAATTTAATTCAGAATAGAGTTGGAAGGGACCTTGTAGGTCATCTAGTCCAACTCCCTGCTCAGGCAGGAGGCCCTATAACCATGTCATACAAATGGCTATCTAATCTCTTCTTAAAAACCTCCAGTGATGGAGCCACCTACAACATCCCAACCAGCCACTCCACTGGTTGATTCTTCTTACTAGTAGGATGTTTCTCCTTTGTTTTAGTTGCTTCTCATCTTGGTTGGTTTCCACCCATTGTTTCTTGTCCTGCCCTCTGGTGCTTTTGAGAATAGCTTGACCCCCTTTTCTTTGTGGGAGCCCCTCAAGTACTGAGACACTGCTGTCATGTCCCCCCTACTCCTTCTTTTCTCTAGACTAGCCATGCCCAATATCTGCAATTGTTCTTCATGTTTTAGTCTCCAGGCTTTCAATCATCTTAGTTGTTCTTCTTTCTCTGCACTTTTTCCAAAGCCTCATCATTATTTGGGGGGATGGGGGGGAGGGTGTAATGTGGTGACCTGGGATATAAAACTGGTCACCACATTACAGAAAAGAGAAAATAGCTACAAACCCACTGAAGGGGGAGAGCTGGGTTACTCTAGGATGGCAAAAGATTTTTACCCCCCCAAATCAGAGTGGTTACATTTGCCCCAAGACTGTGACAAAATTCTGAACTGCTTTTTATTAGTTCTGCTTGACCAATTTTGTACATGGTTCACTGGGCACAGCTGCCATGTCCTCAAATAGTTCTCTTCAGTGGCTTTGCTCCACTTTGACTATATGTTATAGTCACATAGTTAAGGGTTTAAGATATTTCCAATCAGCTTCAAAGGAAACATCTAAAGCCATTTAGCCTTGTTCTGTTCATCCAAACAATGGCAATATTTTGTGCCGGTTTTGTACTGTTGAATATGCACCCACACACATTCTTAATTCCAGCTTGGAAATAATGGGACACTGAATAAGTGGACGTTTTTTTCTTGTAATTTATTGTTTGCAACTTATGTACCAAGGAATCTCAACATTTCTTGGTTTTACTTTCTGTGTCAATCTATGTTAGTTGAGATGTAAAAGAAAAAAAACAGGCTCAAATGCTTAAGCCACTCCTAAATCAATCAGTATAGAAATATGGTATAGATTTGGTAACAATGGCAATCAGTTCAGAAGTATTCAAAAGCTTCATAGGAAGTTTGGGCGGTATGGGGGCTCAGTGGTTAAGATAGTGGGCTTGTCAGCCAGCAGCCCAGGTTTGAGATCTGGGTGCCATGTGACAAGGATGTACTCCAGAGGTGGTATTCAGCGGATTCTGACTGGTTCTGGAGAACCGGTAGCAGAAATTTTGAGTACTTCTGGAGAACCAGCAAATCCCACCTCTGACTGGCTCTGCCAACCCCATCTATTCTCCGCCTCCCATTGAGTCCCAGCTGATTGGCTGGGTCTCCTTTGGTTGCCCTGCATAGGAGAACGGAGCTGGAAAGCAGGTTAGCGGGGTGGGGAGGGAATGGGATTTTGCAGTAACCTTCCCCTGCCATGCCCACCCAGCCACATCATGCCTACCAAGCCACGCCCACAGAACCGGTAGTAAAAATAATTGAATCCCACCACTGGTGAGCGCCCATCCTCCCCATAGCTCCTGGCAATCTAGCAGTTCGAAAACATTCAAATGCAAGTAGATTAATAGGTACCACTTTGGTGGGGAGGAAACAGTGCTCCGTGACATCATGCTGGCCACATGACCATGGAAATGTCTTTGGACAGCACTGGCTCAATGGTCTTCAAATGAAAATTAGTACTATCCCTTAGAGTAGGCAACAACTAGTGGAGCAAAATCCACAGGGATTCCTTTACCTTTTACCTTTAATAGGAAGTATTATCGGGACATGGTGGCTCAGTAGCTAAGACGCTGAGCTTGTCGATCAGAAAGGTCAGCAGTTTAGTGGTTTGAATCCCTAGAGCCACGTAACAGGGTGAGCTTCCATTACTTGTCCCAACTGCTGCCAACCTAGCACTCTGAAAGCATGTTAAAAAAATGCAAGTAGAAAAATAGGGACCCCTTTGGTGGGAAGGTAACAGTGTTCCGTGCACCTTCGGCGTTTAGTCATGCTGGCCACATGAGCACGGAGACGTCTTTGGACAGCGCTGGCTCTTCGACTTTGCAACAGAGATGAGCACTGCCTCCTAGAGCCGTAAACAACTAGCACATATGTGCTAGGAAGTATGATACTCTTTTCAAATGTAAGGTATGTTTAGATATTTAGCTTTATAATTTGCAACAGCCAGACTGAAGCAGAAAAAGAGAAGGAGGACATCTCAATCAATAGTTCAAATATTGACCAGCCAATTTATAATTACTGTGCTTGAAACAAAGATCAAATATAACATACCCTTTTAGAGAATAATTGAGAAGAGAAATTATTTAGGCTTTAAGCCAGAGGTCTTCAAACTTGTCAACTTTAAGACTTGTGGACTTCAGCTATGCTGGCTGGAGAATTCTGGGAGTTGAAGTCCACAAGTCTCCCACAAGTTTGGGGATTCCTGCTTTAAGCCCTTGGCCTGGACCACCTAATTCTTCCTAACCAGGCTCTTAGGGCAGGACCAAAAGCAGCGATTTTCCTTTGGAGAAAATTGTCATTAAAGGGCATATAGCAGACAAGGACATCTGCTTTCAACCACACGGTGCTCCTGGCAGGACAGAGACAGGACAAGAAGCAATGGGGTTGCCACATGAGAGGGAGATCCAACCTGGAAATAAGGAAAAATATCCTAACAGTGAGAACAATTAATCAATGGAACAACTTGGAGTTGTGGGTGTTCCACAACTGGAGGCCTTCAAAAAAAAGATCGGACATTCATTTCTTTGGGTTGCAATAAGATCTCCTGCCTTGAGAGGGGGGTTGACTAGAAGACCTCAGAGGTCCCTTCCAGGCCAGCCCTTGGATTCTAAGAGAGACTGCTATCGATCTATATACCCAAGTGCCACCATTAGTGTAGGGAATACAACACAACATTTGTCCAACTGTCTTCTAATTGGAGTCAGCCCAGGCAAGATAGTTAGCGAGATTTCAACGTTAGACATTTCTTCTCTCTCTTGCAGGTTGACATGTATGCTGGGGCTCTCTTCATCCAACAGGCCTTGCACTGGGACCTCTACATAGCAGTCATTGGTTTGCTGGTCATCACTGCAATTTACACTGTGGCAGGTAGATGTTAACACCATAAGAGTGGGTCTTTTGCAGTTACTTCTGGACCCTGAGCTCTGGGGAAGGAGTTTCGGGGGATGGCTGGGATTGTTTGGTGTCCTATCATCCAGCTTCAGGTAGTTGAGGGCTTGACCCAAGGGTACGGAGAGAAAGCATGTTCCCTTATACCAGGGGTCTTCAAACTTGCGGACTTCAACTCCCAGAATTCCTCCTCCAGTCATGTTAACTCAGGAATTCTGGGAGTTGAAGTCTGCAAGTCTTAAACTTGCCATGTTTGAAGACCCTTGGCATAGAACGTAGACTCATAGGGCTAGAAGGGACTTCAGAAGCCTTCTAGTTCAACAATGCTGGAGACCTTATACCAGGGCTCTTCAAACTTGACAAACTTAGCTCAGGAATTCTGGGAGTTGAAGTCCGCAAGTCTTAAACTTCCCAAGTTTGAAGAACCTTGCCTTAGAAGATTTAGCCACCGGTGTGGAAGTCTACATGATGAATATGTAGCATGTGTATAGGTGACTCACCCTAATATACCTGAAGCATTGATTCAATTCTCCTTTGTGACCATCAGTTCTTCTTGGGGCTTCAGGTGCTGCCCTGACTTTTGTTGCTTTTTCTGAGACCTTGTTTTGCCCCACTGCCAACTAAAAAAAATATAGCGAGGGGGGTAACATTGCATGTTTTGTAAAAAATAATAATAATAACTTGGATACACAGATGTGCTTTGCAAAAAAGAAAATATCAGCGTCTTAGATATGTTGACTTACAGAGAAGGAACAGCTTGAAATTTCCAAAGCAAAAGATTACTGTGTTCTGGCTTTCTTTAGAACATACCACCTCTTTTCATCTTCCTTTGCTTTGAACTTCAGTTAAATGATGTCTTCAAAGTTTCCTCTTTCTTTTAACTACTTGAAAAGACTTTTTTAAAAAAAAAAGTTAAAAAGACGCGGTATTCAGCTGAGTGCTTTTGTGTACTGCCCAGGGAACTACTTGTTAACAAGGAAGAGAAAAACAGGGGAAATTAAACCACGTGGGAGAAGGCAAGCAAAGAGCCAGTTATGATCTTAGCTAGATCAGGGCTCTCCAACCTTAGCACCTTTAAGACTTGTGGGTTTAAACTCCCAGAATTCCTCAGCCAGCAAAGCTGAAGAAGTCCACGAGTCTTAAAGTTGCTAAGATTGGAGACCCCTGAGCTAGATCACTGAATGCCTTGACGGGGAGGGCAGAGACGTCTTCCTTACCAGGCTGTCTGAGCTCCACAATCCCCCAAAAGACATTTGAAGAGGATAGCAAGAGTTCAATCAAATCCTCTGAAAGCTGATGTGGGTCCCACAAAAAAAATCACACACACACACACAACCCCTCCAGCCTATGCAAAAGGCAACCCACTTGTTTGATAACTTTACTAGACTGTTTAAACTAGAAATATAAAAACAAACACAAACTAATAATGGCGATAGGACAGAGAATAAAGAGCAAAGCCAAAAGTGCAGGGAAAAAAAACAGAAAAAGAAAAGAATTGACTTCTGGTTTTCTTTTATAACAGACCGAAGTATGAATTTAAATTTAAACCACTCACTCTAAAGTTACCTCAGTTTCATTTTTCCTATAATCTACGATGTTTCTAATCATCAAAAGGAGGTGCCACAATTTCTTTTCTTTCTTTCTTTTTTATTTCACAGAGAAGGGTTTTCAAATCAGCATTCATATTAATTGGTGTATTTTCTCGAATCAAAACGTCAATGTTGTCATCCCTGCCAGTGCCGTAAAATGGTTTCTTCTCTTCCCAAAAGGGCTGTTTTCCAACTGGCGCATCTCCCCTGTTGAGAAAGTCTTGTTGTATTAAAAATAGCAAAACCAAATGTAGGCTAGGTATGTGAGAGGCAAATAATCAGATGCATGGTATTTTTGACTTGGATTTCTAGTTAGAAAAACAAATAGGCAACCCTTCAAAGAAACCTCCCAATATTTAGAATTAGAATAGAATGAGCTGGAAGGGACCTTGGAGGTCTTCTAGTCCAGCCCCTTGCTCAAGCAGGAGACCCTATACCATTTCAGAGAAGTGACTGTCTAGAGCAAGGGTCTTCAAACTTGGGAAGTTTAAGACTTGTGGACTTCAACTCACAGGATTCCTGAGCTAACATGACTAGAGGAGGAATCCTGGGAGTTGAAGTCCCCAAGTCTTAAAGCTGTCAAGTTTGAAAACCCCTGGAGACTCTTCTTAAAAACCTCCAGTGATGGAGCACCCACGATTTCTGGATGCAAGCTGTTCCACTGGTAAATTGACCTACAAGGACCCTTCCAACTCTGTTAATCTGTATCAATGCTTAGGCATACTGGATTATCCTCACTGTTTAAAAAATTCTCTTTAATTCCAGGTTGCTTCTCTCTTTAATCAGTTTCCATCCCTTGTTTCTTGTTCTGCCTTCTGGTGCTTTGGAGAATAATTTGACCCCCCTCTTCTTTGGGGCAGCCCCTCAAATACTGGGATCCTGCTATCATGTCATCCCTAATTCCTCTTTTCTTTAGACTAGCCAGACGTAAATCCTGCAACTGTTCTTCATATGGTTTAGTCTCCAGGCTTTTGATGATCATCTTAGCTGCTCTTCTCTGAACTTTTTCCAAAATCTCAACATCTTTTTTGTAGTGTGGTGACCGAAATTAGTTGCAGGATTCCAGTGCCACATTTAAATCACACCTGAATTAAAACATCCATTTTCTGATAGGTATAAAATTAACTTTAGTTACTGAGAGTCGCTTGATAGTGAGATGGGGGACATGCAGATTTAACAGATAAAATAATAATAAACCTTTCCATATTCAGGGAAGGGCTTTTTTGAGGCTAGTCCAAGACTTTTTGGGCAGAAACTGGGCCCCGATCTAACTCTTACTGCTTTCTACAGGTGGCTTGGCAGCAGTGATTTACACGGACACCCTGCAGACGGTTATCATGTTGGCTGGCGCACTCACCCTAATGGGCTTCAGTGAGTACTCTATGTGTGTGTGTGTGTGTGTGTGTGTGTGTGTGTATGAGTGGTGGGTTTCCAAAATTTTCCCTACCATTTCTACGTGCGCGCACATGCAGGGCTCAAATACTGACCTCAGTCAAGGCTGGATAGCTGCTTGGAGTGTTTTGAAGCTCAGCTGAGGCACGGCAATCTGCTCTGCTGCGCGAATCAGCTGAGCTAAACAACAAGGAAATATAGGAGAGGTATCGGCAGGTGCAGGTGCATAGGGCCAGCTAGAGGTGGTATTGGCTGGCTCTCCAAACAGTCAAGCATTTTGCTAACAGTACTTCAGAACTATTCTGAACCATCTGAACCGGCTGAATACCACCTCTTGGGTGGCGGGGTGTATGAGTGTGTGTTCAGAATTGCTGTTCCTTAGCTTGCTGTCTGTGGAGGCAGCTGAACTGGTCTGTTTCTGTTGTGGTCCACCAACACTCTGCGGAGCTGGCAGCAGAGTTAGACAGTGGGGAGAAACATGGGCCAGTCTGGGAGTCTGGAGAGGACTCAGGCAATGGTCCTGCGTCAGATACAGAGATGGAGCCAGGGCCATCTGGAAGTTATGTGCTGACTCCGGAGCTTCCACAATCTGGCAGCAGCGAGGCAGAGGAACAAGGGGAGCCTGTTCCCTGTGCGCGTGTACGCAGACCTGCCAGAAGGCAAGAGCAAGTAAGATAAAAGGGGCGACTTGGGAGTAAGGCTTGGAGGTGACTGACCCCTCCCATAAGACATAGAGGAGGAGCAAAGGGACTTTGCAGGAAGTAACTTTGTTCATTCTGGTCAGTTTAAAATCTGAAGCTCTGTGTTGACTTCGTGCTCTGTTTGGCCTTGTGCAACTCATTTAGTCACTGGCAGCATTTCAAGGGAGATAAAGGTGTGTGCTTATCAGCCTTATCCCGAAAGACTGTGGCGGACTTCTGCTGGATTACTCATCAACTGTTTGGGACTCATTACGGGCTGTGAATGCATCTAATTCACAGCCATTGAAATAAAAGAAAAAGGGTTTTGGGAACAGCGGGCGATTGTTACTGTCTCAGGAATCCTTGGTCAGAACAGTTTCAACCTCTCTAGGTTTTGCCAAAGTCGGAGGCCTTGAGGACCTGAAGAACAGATACTTCAAAGCCATTGCAAGCAACCACTATGGAAACACCAGCTGCGGCTTGCCAAGAGAGGATGCCTTCCACATATTCCGGGACCCTGTCACATCCGACTTTCCCTGGCCAGGAATCCTAGTGGGAATGACCATCCCGTCTTTGTGGTACTGGTGCACTGACCAGGTAATTCAGCTTATCAGCTATGTTTGTCTTCTGGGTGAGGAAGAGCTTTGAAAGATAATGGTTTCCCACGTCCAGTTGTATCTGACTCTAGGGTCTGGTGCTCATCTCCATTTCTTAGCTGAGGGAGCCAGCTCTGTCCAAAGACATTTTTGTGGTCATGTAGACAGCATGGCTATATGCCAAAGGCTCACAAAAACCGGTCACCTTCCCACTGAAGTGGTACCTATTGATCTACTTGCATTTGCATGCTTTCGAAACTGCTAGGTGGACAGGAGCTGTGGCAATTAACAGGAGCTCGTCCCTTTGCATGGCACTCGGATCTTGAACCCAGGCTGTCCGTTGACCAGCTCAGTGTCTTTAACTACTGAACCAATGCGGGTCCTAAAGAGGAAGAGTTTTAAGAGAAGAGAGATTGCCACCATGTACCAGGAAGTAATAGTATTGCTTTAAGGGAGAAGTTGAAACATGGCTCACACAGAGGATGGATTAGATTAGATTAGATTAGATTAGATTAGATTGGATTAGATTAGATTAGATTACAGAGTTGGAAGAGACCTTGTAGGTCATCTAGTCCACACACACCCGTGCCCAAGCAGGAGACCCTACACCATTTCTGACAGATGGAGGTCCAATCTCTTCTTGAAAGTCTCCAGGGATGAAGCTCCCACAACTTCCAAGGGCAAGCTGTTCCATTGGGTGATTGTTCTCACTGTCAGAAAATTCCTCCTTATTTCTAGGTTGAATCAGTTCAACCTTCACCAGTTTCCATCCATTATTCCTTGTCTGGCCTTCGGGTGCCTTGGAAAACAGCTTGACCCCTTCCTCCTCTCTGTGGCAGCCCCTCAAATCTTGGAAGACTGCTATCCTGTCTCCCCTGGTCCTTCTCTTCACTAGGCTAGCCCTGCCCAGTTCATCGTATGTTTGAGCCTCCAGTCCCCTAAAATCATCCTGGTTGCTCTTCTCTGCACTTTTTCTACAGTCTCAACATCTTTTTTATAGTGTAGTGACCAAAATGGGATGGAGTACTCTAGGTGTGGTCTTACTAAGGCTTTATAGAGTGGTATTAGTACCTCCCTTGATCTCGATTGTATCCCTCTGTTAATGCAATTTAGGATTGCACTGGCTTTTTCTGGCTGCCGCTGCACACGGCTGGCTCCTATTTAGCTGGCTGTCCACTAGGACTTTACTTTTCTCTACATTGAATTGGATGGAAGAAGATGCGGCTGCTTTAAATAGGGTCAGGAGTGCCTGCTTAAGCAAGTTTGCACAACTTCCTCTGGATCACTTCCCAAGGGTGGCAGCTGAAATGTCTGGCATTATGAGAACAACTCAGCCATCCGCCCACATAGTCATGTGCTGTCATGGTAATACAGCAGGTCCCTGGGTTAAGAATGCCCCGATTTCTGGATGACCCATGATTAAGAATGGAGCCTATTGTTACAAAATTTGATTCAAATACACAACGATTCAAGTTAAATATGCAGTGGTTCAAGTTCATTGCACAATGCTGTTTATACAGTATTATATAACATTGTTCCGGCTTACGTACACCTTTGACTTAAGGGCAGGCCTTGGAAATAGAACTCATCCCTTCAACTGGGAATTACCTGTACTCATGACTCATATTTGTGAACCTGCAGAGTCACATTTTGTGAGATAAATAGAACATAGAATAATGGAGTGGGACCTTGGAGGTCTTCTAGTCCAACCCCCTGCTCAAGCAGGAGACCTTATACCATTTCAGACAAATGGTTTTTCAATCTCTTCTCAAAAGTGTGAGTTGTGATGGAGCACCCACAACTTCTGAAGGGAAGTCATCCCACGGACTGATTGTCAGGAAATTTCTCCGTAGTTCTAGGTCGCTTCTCTCTTTGGTTAGCTCCCATCCATTGCTTCTTGTCTTGACTTCTGGTGCTTTGGAAAATAAGGTTGGTAAATAAATAAATACTGATATGGTTGGTACCATGATCCAACCTGAGTGGATGTTCTGAATGAGCAGCTTTCCGATGGGGAGGACGCCCGCTCCCTTCTCCCGATTACATGCCTTTAATCCAGGCTTCCTACATTCAGGGTCAACATTGTCTGCCTTCAGAATGCAGCATCTCAATAGCCACTGTCTATACCAGTGATGGCTAACCTTTTCAGCTTGGTGTGTCGAAAATCAGGAAAAAGTGTAGCCTTCCTTGGGTCGTGTGTCACTTCAAGAAATATCAATAATTTGGTTTATGACGGACTGGGCTGGGGTGATCACACAGGGCTGTGAAACTCGTCTCCCTGGTCTCAGGGCTGCAGGTGCAGGAGGTGGGGATCGGAAGGCCACCTTACAGGGCTGTGAACCTCACGGATCTCCTTTCCTCCTGTAGCGTTCCTGAGGTAATGAAACTGACAAACCTCAGTTTATGGCGGTTAAAACTGGTTCTCTGCTGCAAAGATCTTGCGGCAGTGGTGACACCACGCCTCCACGCAACAAGCAGGGAGCAGGGATTGGAGCAGAGCACAGGCAGCCTCTAAATGTGCAGGTTTTCCCCACACCAACAGGCGTGTCAGTCAAAGTGCCTCGGCGTGTCACGAGTGACACGCGTGTCATAGGTTAGCCATCACTGGTCTATACGGAGTAGAGGGAAGAGCGAATGGCCTTGACAGACAGGAGGAAGAGCTGCTTCCAAGGCAACAGTCAGATAACATGGCCATAAGTCCCTGGCAGGGAAAACAATGTGAGAAAAATTCTCAGACAAGCCCTCCTCCACCCCCAATTCACACAAAGATAAAGGGAGGGGCAAGGACATTCAGACGTGCAAGATTCTGTTCCTAGAGCTTTACAATAAAAGTATCCTAAAAGAGCCGCAGTGGTGCAGTGGTTAGAATGCAGTACTCTGCAGGCTACTTCTGCTGCCTGCCGGCTGACTGTAGTTCGGTAGTTCGATCCTGACTGGTTCAAGGTCAGCTCAGCCTTCCATCCTTCCGAGGTTAGTAAAATGAGGACCCAGATTGTTGGAAAACCTGCTAAACCACTTAGAGAGGACTGTAAAGCACTGTGAAGTAATATTTAAGTCTAAGTGCTATTGCTTGCGAAGGAAGGAAGGAAGGAAGGAAGGAAGGAAGGAAGGAAGGAAGGAA